AGGTCTACTTCTGAGTGAGAACATGTGATACTCAAATCTTTGTTTCTGTGAGAGATCACTCAGTATTATAAACTCTAATTCCATCCAGGTTGCTGTGAAATTAATGATGTTCACCTCACTAGTCATCAGGGAGATGCAAATTAAAACTACACTGAGATGCCACCTAACTCTAGTCAGAATGGCCATTATCAATAACTCAAAGAATAACAGATGCTGGAGAGGATGTGGTGAAAAGGGAACACTTCTACACTGTTGGTGGGAATGTAAACTAGTGCAGCCTCTGTGGAAATCAGTGTGGCGATTCCTAAAAGCTCTAAAAATCCACCTTCCATATGACCCCTCAATCCCCCTACTGGGAATATACCCTGAAGAACTCAAATCACTCTATAAAAAAGATACCTGCACACATATGTTTATCACAGCATTGTTCACAATAGCAAGATCATGGAACCAACCATGCTGTCCATCAAATGAGAGCTGGATTTTTAAAATGTGGTATATATACACAATGGAATATTACGCAGCAAAGTGCCTCTTTCCTCACCAGGGATGAGTGTCCTTTCTCTCAGTCAGGGAAATGGAGAATGGAATGTAAAGAGCCTCCCCCAAAGGGGACACTCTTCCTCCTAAGTTTTTTCTTTTCCCCTCTCCCTTTGTCTGTGTACCCAGTGTAGGAGGAAGATCAGACATGGGGGTAAATGAGGCCAAGCCTGCAGTGGGGACAGGATGAGAGGTGGGGAAAAGACTACATGAATGCAGAGGAGAAATCTATGGCTACATGGCAGCTTCTCCCCTCCCCCAATCTGGTGACCTGATGGCTTTCCTCAGTTGAAGCTGTCAGATTCCTGACCTGTGCCTGCTCACAGGGCCACCACCCTCCCCAAGCATGGCTCATGGGCTCTCCTCCTGCTCCCCAGCTCCCTCCACTCCCCCTAGGGTGCCTCCCTCTGCCTTCTACCTCTCAGACCTGGGCCAGGCCATGGGTACCTCCTTTGCCTGGAGACTCAGTTTCTGCCTTCTTAATCCTGAGACTCTTGCATAGCTGTGGTCCCCCACCTGCTTGCCTCTTTCTGGACCCTAGACAGCTCTTAGAAGAGCTGGGACAGCTTGGAGGTGACCCTGGTTAAGCACGGTCAAGCCCCACCCAATTCCTCTGCAATTCCACGTGTCCTCACTTCTCGTCCATCTGATTGCTGTCCCAATCAGGTGTCCCCCTTCAACATTGAGCCTTCCAGCGGCCAGCTTCACCCTCTGGGGGAGTGCAGAGTGAACATCACCTTGGAAGCCTTACACTGCCAGCGTCTACAGACCGTCCTAGAGCTGGAGGTGGAAAATGGGGCCTGGAGGTAAGGGGGCAGTGGGAAGAGCCGCTACAACAGACTTCATGCATGTTTGTGGTATATTTACTTATATTATGTGAAATTTCTTGAATTTAAGCCATGTTATAGCATAAACATGTTTATCCTAAGACTTAAGAGACGGCATTTTATTCTATAAAACTTGGAAATTACAGAAAAGAAAATTGAGATGACCCCTAATCTATTACCTAGAGGTAATTCACTGCTGATATTATGGGGTATGTCTTTCTAGGGTGTGTGTACTAAAGCAATGTAAGTTACTACAGCTCCTTTCAAACCCTTTAGCATTATCTAGTCTTTGCCCTTCTAAGTACACTCCCAGGGAGACACTTACACATGTGCACTGGGAAATGTGTGCTCATGTAGGAATGCTCAGAGCTAGACTGTTCCCAACAGTCTAATATTCATCAACAGGAAAATGGACAGAAAATTTTGTGGCATATTTTTGTTTGTTTGTTTGTTTGTTTTTTGAGTTCGAGTCTCACTCTGTTGCCCAGACTGGAGTGCAGTGGCCGCTCCCAGCCACTGCAGCCTCAATCTACTGGGCTCCGGCAATCCTTCCACCTCAGCCTTCCAAGTAGCTGGAACTACAGGCATGCACTACCACACCTGGCTAATTTTTGATTTATTGTAGAGATGAGGTCTTGTTAAGTTGCCCAGGCGGGTCTCGAACCCGTGGGCTCAGGTAATCCACTCACCTCAACCTCCCAAAGGCGCAGGGTTACAGGCTAAGCCACCGAGCCTGGCTTTGTGGCATATTTTAAATGAGCAAATGTGTGTGGGAGAAACACACTAGAGGTTTCAAAAGTATTAGTAATATTCCTTTTCTTTCTTCTTCCTTTCCCCTCCCCTCCCTTCCTTCACTCTCTGTATTTCTTTCTAGTGGAAAACTTCCCACATAGATACAAACAGAGAGAATAGTGTAACAAACCTCCACGTACTCATTACCTGCCTTCAATAATCATCAACTCATTGTAAATGTTGTTTCATCCATATCCCCTACCCACTTCTCCCCATCCCTTCCCAAATTATTCTGGAACAGAATATTCATTTTCTTTTTCTTCTTTTTTTTTTTTTTTTGAGTTGGAGTCTTACTCTGTTGCCCAGGCTGGAGTGCAGTAGCACACTCATGGCCACCCCAGCATCGACCTTCTGGGCCCTGGTGATCCTTTCACCTCAGCCTTCCAAGTAGCCGGAACTACAGGCACACTCTAGCACACCTGACTTAATTTTTGATTTATTGTAGAGATGAGGTCTCGTCAAGTTGCCCAGCCTGGTCTCGAACCCTCAGGCTCAGGCAATCTACTCGCCTTGGCCTCTCAAAGTGCTGGTATTATAGGTTGAGCCACTGAGCTCGGCCACAAAATATTCATTTACTTAAGCTGACTAGTGGCAATATTTTGTTTCTGAAGCAAGGTGGGGTGGTACATAGGTGTTCTTTTATTATTATTTGTTAAACTGTATATATATATTTAAGCTGTTCATATGTTTTGTACCAATTTTGCATGTATTTTGTGCTTCACTGTAAAAGCATTGAAATTCTCATCTAAAAACTTTATGGATACTCTTGAATTATCCTCCAAAAAGACTGTCATTTTATTCTTCCACCCACAGCGTATGAGACAACCTACAACCTTCTCCACACTCTCATAATTGCAAATGTTATCTGACTCTTTATACTTGACCATCTGATGGTCATGGATGTGCTCCTCTGTGATTACCATATGGGGCTAGGCATGAGTTTCTCACTGACCATGTAGGCCACTTTGTGGGCCTTAAATATGAAGGTTAAGTCTGCCTTCAGCACTGGGAAAATGCCTTAAGTCTTTGCTTATTTCCTTTCCTTTTCTGTCTCTGTCCTTTCTTCTTCTGAAAGGACCATGTATTAATCAGAATGTCTATAGCTGCAGGTAATGGAAACGTAGACATAACCAACTTAGACAAAAAAGAGAAAACACTGGCCCCTGTCACTGGGTATTCCTGCCTTGCCAAATCCAAGGGCTCAACCCTTTCCCTTTGGTCTGCTTCCTCTCGTTGTCTGCCCTCCTTCCCTCTTCCCCATCTCCATCCCAGCCCTACCTTCAATTCTGCTTCCTTTTGTTGGCCTTTCTCTCCCTGGTTGGGAAAGGGCCCTGGGCCACCCTGCCTTGGAGAGGAGGGCACCTAGACCTCCAGGTTCCCACTCTTCCAGCTTACCAGCCTCAGTGAAAATTGAAACCGGTTCTCCAGAGATGGGTTCTGCTTGGTCTTCTTTGGGTCATCTGGTCGCCTCTTCCCCTGGTGGGAGGGCAGGAAGAGGATCTGTCTCCTGAAGAAGCCCATAGGCAATCATGTTTTAAAATGTCAGGGTTTTTTGTTCTTGGGTTATTCCTTTTCTAGTAATCTATTATTGTCTTATGGTTGCAACAGTCTCTCAACTTCCTCAAGGAAACTAACTTATGTTTTCTTGGATTTTGGTTTGGACTCTTCCTCCTTCTTTTTTGGATTTTCTTCTGCTTCTAGTAATCCTTGACTGTCCATTTCTGTTTTCAAAGGGAGAAACAAGTTATTTGCATAAGCATCTGCATAAGTGGGGATAGGTGTGGAGTGCACCCTTCTTCCAAAGAATGAAGTGTATGTGAACTACCATCCTCAGAGCACACAGCTAGCCCAAATCCCAGAAGAAGGGGCCTTTGGGGAAAACAGCCTCCAAAAGTAAAGGACACCCACGCTGGCCACATGAATCAGTCTATTTCCTCTCTCATAAATGGGAGTGAAGGACTAGGACCTCTTTAGTTGTTTCTCCTCCACGACAGTTGAGAGATCCAATGTGGCTGCAGGCTCTGCTCTGACCTCTCTCCAGCTCCAGCCCCACAGTGTTCAGTCTTCTGTGTGTTGCCCGGAGCTCTGGGGCTGGGATGCTCATCTGGCCAAACCGATCAATCTCCCAGCAGTCCTCTCACTAGTTCCCCTGCCCTTTGATACCCTCATGCCATTGTTAAGGATGACACTGTGCTTAACCTGTGCAGGGCTCTCTCCTCCAAGGGTTTCAAACAGCAGTTTTGTTCTCCTCTGTTTTATCAGTTAATTTGGTCACATCCTTTCTTCCTTCTTTTAGTTATTATTTTTCTAGATGGAATTGCATTATATTTACTTTTTTATCCTTTATTTTAAAAATTTCACAAATAGGATGTGTGCTAGATGTCACATTTGCCAATTTGCTAGTCCTGACCCTCTCTCTGTCCTTTTTTCCTTTTCTTTTTCCTTCTTTTTGTAGAGATGGGGTCTTGATAAATTGTCCAGGCTGGTCTCAAAATCCTGGCCTCAAGTGATCCTCCTGCCTTGGCCTCTCAAAATGCTGACTTGAGTCACTGTACCTGGCTGTCTCTGTCCTTTTCTAACTGCTTTTCCACTTCTCCACACCTGTTATTTTCTGGGTTTTAGCTGGTAGTCATTCTACCATGTGAAGTGGTATTTTATTGAGGATTTGAGTTGTATTTTCCTGATGGCAAATGATATTGAACATTTTTTCATGTGCTTATTAACCATTTGTCTATCCTCTTTGGAGAAATATCTATTGAGATGCTTTGCCTGTTTTTAAAAATAGTCTTTTTGTGATTGAATTATACTCTTTTTATATTATAGATATGTCTCCTATTTATATGTGATTTACAAATATTTTCGCCCATTCTGATGATTGTCTTTTCACTTTCTTGATGGTATACTTTGAAGCACAAACATTTTGATGAAGCCCACCTATCTATTTTTCTACTTTGTTGCTTGTGCTTTTGGGGTCATACCTAAGAAACCATTGCTTAATATAGGTTCACAAAGATTTACTCATGTGTTTTCTTCTAAGAGTTTTATAGTCTTAGTTCTTACATTTAGGCCTTTGATCCATTTTGAGTTCATTTTTGTATGTAGTGTGAAAAAGGAGTCCAACTTTAATCCTGTCCATGTAGATAACCAGTTATCCCAGCACCATTTCTTTAAATGGTTCTTTACTCAATGATTTGTCTTGGCACCCTTGTCAAAAATCAATTGACTGTAAATATGGAGGTTTACTTATGGGCTCTCAACTCTGTTTCATTGATCTACATGTCTATCCTTATGTCAATACCACACTGTCAATTACTGTGGTTTGGTAGTACATTTTGAAATTGGGAAGTATAAATTCTCCAACTTTTTTTTTTCAAGACTGTTTGGGCTATTCTGGGTCTTTTGAATTTCCATAGAAATTTTAGAATCAGTTTGTCAACTTCTGCAAAGAGCTAGCTGGGGTTTGATAAGGGAGTGTATTGAATTTGTAGGCCAATCTAGGGAGTATTGTTGTTTTAACAATATTAAGTCTTCCCATCCATGAACATGAAGTATCTTTACATTTACACAGATCTTTTTTCATTTCTCTCAGGGATATTTTGTGTATAAGTCTTATACTTCTTTTGTTATATTATCCCTATGTTATTCTTTTTGGTGATTTGGAAATGGAACTCTTTTAAAAAAATTATTATTTTATTTTAGAGACAAGAGTCTCACTATATTGCCCAGGTTGGTCTCTCACTCCTGAGCTCAAGTGATCCTCCCACTTCAGCTTCCTGAGTAGGTGGGACTAAAAGCTTGCACCACTGCACCTGGCTTTGAAATGGAACTGTTTTGTTTATTTCGTTTTCTGATTGTATTGCTAAACATTTAGAGAAATATTCATCCATTCTGATGATTGCCTTTTCACTTTCTTGATGGTATACTTTGTTTTGGCTTTTTTTTTTTTTTTTGAGTCATAGTCTCACTCTATCACCCAGGCTGGAGTGCAGTGGCATGCTCACAGCCACCCCAGTGTTGACCTGCTGGGCTCCAGCGATCCTTCTGCTCCAGCCTTCCAAGTATCTGGAACTACAGGCACGTGCTACCACACCCGGCTAATTTTTGATTTATTGTGGAGAGGAGGTGTTGCCAAGTTGCCCGGGCTGGTCTCGAACCCTTGGGCTCAGGCAATTCACTTGCCTTGGTCT